TTTCATGACGAACGAAATTAATAATCGGTCACCTTTTGGCCATGCAATAAAAATCAGAGACCCCGCGGGGGGTTATGAAATTAATCGCATTCTAAGTGAATCTCATTTCTCGGACCTAAGGTCGTCAAAATCGATTATACGTTCACCTCGGGGTGACCCGTACGCTCTCATTCGATTTCCTCTAACCGTCTAAATTTAGAAATTCTTTTTGGTAATTATCCTTCAATTAATTTTCAAGTAATGTCATCCTCGAGGAAGCCCACACTATCAATTAATTGATTTACCAACGAATTAGAAATGGAGGCCTTAGGAAATAAAAATTATCTTAACTTTAAATATCCTTCTCAACTTAGTATTTTGAATGAGGATTTTTAATATATATATATATATATACAATTCTAAATAATTCTATGCACACAAGGCAACAATTATTCCCATGCATAAATAAACAAATAAATAATTAATGCCATAAATAAATATCCACTATTATGGCCAATTAAATATTTATTCTCCTTGGATTAGGATCTCTTTCCTAAACCAACTGGAACTCCCACTGCAGTAGAATCCCTGTTGACTTGTACAGCAAGTTCCACAAAACCTCCACCAGTAGAAGCTGCGGCCGCGCCGCCCACTTGGCTCCCGGCTCCGGTTTCTTCCTTGCTTTGTCGAGTCTCTTTGGATCTTTGTGAAGGTCCGGTCTCCAACGGTCGATCACAATACGAAAAATATAATTTACAAAATTACATAAATCGATTCCTAAATCCAACGAGTGGAAGTACATGCCTTCTACTAATTAATTAAACTATCCGGTCAACCCCCGGGCAATTAATACAAGCATTCATCCATAATTCCTCGACAATCCCGAGGCTTTAAAAACAAATTTAAAACCATACAACCAACCATCAATTAAGCACAAGCACATAAAAGGGTGGCCATAATAGTGGATTAACTATTTCCTGCAAAACCAAGTTATGCATATAATCCAATATATATGGCTGCGCTTGAGCACACATAGACAATTAAGCAGTTTAATCCGAATCTTGTACATAACGGATTAGCCTCATGCTCTGATACTAATGGTTGGAACCCACGAGGATCTCGATATGCACAAATCACGTACAAACATTCAACATGAACCTATGCGCAGCGGATCTAAAGGTTTGATGAAGAAAACTTACTGCTTAAAATTTATGTAGATCTGGCTGGCCCGGACAGTTGACCGCAAATCAAATCTTCTCGGAATCGAACAAACTTGACCAATTCGGAAAGCTGATGTCACGGCGAAGTCAACGGCGTTGACCGATCGGAAATCGGCCCTCTCACGCGCTCTCACGCGCGACGACAAACTCTGGCGACTGCCTCCTTGCGGTGGCGCGTGGCGGCGCGTCCACCGGCGGTTGGCGGCGATCTCGACGGCGATCTCTCCGTCTCGTAGTCCTGGTCGTCGTGGTATGGTCACTTGCTGGTTTTGGTCTCCGGTTTGGATGTATGATCGGAATCTCTATATACCTTAAGATCTTCTACTGTATTCTCAAACAGCTTTCTAGATCTTGAATCAGTGGAACACAAGAAATAGAAGAACTCCTTGGAAGAGAGAGAGAAAGGGTTGGACGCAATTCCCAAGTTATGGGATTGTTCTCTTCTCTTCCATGAGCCTAATGCTGTATATATAGAGCTACAGTAGGGACCCTAAGGAGAATAGGATAAGGGCTTCTAATATATTAATACTGTGGAGCAACCCCACAATTAATATATTAATAATATTAAAGTCCACACCCAATAATATTATTGCACTCCCCTCACCTATCCCAAATTACATTTGAGACTCCTTATTATAATTATCCGATTTACCTCCCCATGTTTAAGATATAATGTCCATTAATTAATTCGATCACTAATAATCAAGAATTAATTAATATATTATATTACCGAAGCTAGCGCTCGCTCATAGCATTCATATTATGCCGGAATAAATCCACCTGCAGGGTTTAGCATAATATTCCTTCATGAACTCACTTCGGGGACATCATCATACTAACGCACATGGTGACCGTAAATATCCTAATAGCACATCGAACACATAATGTCATTACCCAATTAATTAAGTATGTCGACCCGGCTTGGATCTCACCCAATGAATCAAAGCAACAACAATTATGTGCACATGCCTATTTAATATCTTACGGGTTAAGAGCACGCAATAATTAACTGAGGCCTAGTTCGTTTACGATGATTAGTATAAAACGAACATCCCTCTCTGGGATCCTGTTCAATACATAAATGTACTAGTGCAACTAATTGGTCAAGACAAACCGTACGGTTGACACTACAACCGCTCCGATGGGTTGTTCAATTCCATCTAGGTTGTGAACCAACGATTCTTGTTTCGCAAGTAACTGATATAGTGATCTTCGGTACGCCCGATGACGACCCACTTATCTACATGCAAAACAACAGAACGTGGACCTTATTTAACCAAACATAATTCTCATTCATCAAGGAATAACAAGTGTAATATCCACTAAAGCAAAGCTTAAGTATATAACACCAACATACCCGCCCCTCGACTTCGGCAGTCCCACTATGAAATCCATGGTGATGCACTCTCACTTCCACAGGGGAACCTCAAGGGGCTGTAACAACCCTCTCGGTTTCTGGCACTCAGCCTTCACTTGCTGACACACCAGGCACCCATCCACGAACTTTGCTACCTGCCTCTTCATGGCTCGCCACCAAAAAGACTTTCTCGAGTCCTGATACATCTTCGTGCTACCAGAAAGATTTTTAAGCACAAGAAATCGTCCTAAACATGCATGCAACGAAAAGTACAATTTTAAGGCTTTAAGCTTCAAAAATCCGATTTTCTCATTCTACCCGAGAAAAACTTGATTTCTCTTCATGATAAATCTTAAAATATCATGTTATAGCTAGGATAGAAATATAGCATGAGCTAACCTTCACCGAAGTCGAAAATGAGACTTAAGCCCTTAACTCGGGTCTCCTGGGGTCGCTATAGGCCGTGGCTTGACTTGGTGGCCTATAAGCTGAAGATGGTGGCTTCTCTAAGCTCCTTATACTCCCGGATATGATATGAACTTGGCTTGGTGCAGCAAAACTCGGCTAGCACAAGAGATGGCTTGGTGCTCCTCTTTATCGGGCCTAGGCGCATGCATGCAAGGCTCTCGGCTATCTCTCTCTATATGGCTTAGTTTGGGTGAAATTTTTAAGTATCCAAGAGTATTTACTTGCTGAAGAATGAGGTTAAATGGAGTCTTGGGCGGATTTCACTAGGTAGCTCATGGGAGACACATTTTAAGTGCTCTTTTCCCACTTCATGTGCACCTAGGGACTTGGGGCTGCATTGGGGATGACTTGGGTGGAATTTGAGGTGGTTTTCAGAGCATATTGAAAGAGGACAAAGGCTCTGGTCGGACACAAGGTGAGTGGGGGACATAAACTTACACATGTGCATTAAAATAATGCATGCACATGCACCCACTTTGGCTAAGGACAAAATGGCTTTGACTTGGATTACCTTAGGGTCAATTGGGCTGAAAAGACTCCTAACTAAGTTGGTTGCACCCTCACAAATTTGGGCTCGGTGAAAGTGGGCTGGATTTTCCCGAATTGGGCTAGGAAGGTGGGCTGGCGCTGCCTGGGCGCGCGCTGTGCGCTGTCTGCGCGTGCTGGGCGCGCTGGGCGCTGTCTGCGCGCGTGATGCGGAAGTGGGTTTCGAGCCCCGATGACGAGATGGTCCATAGGCAGGTAACATTCGGGCGCAAGAAAGGGCGTATTAGAAAAGGGCGAGAATACGCACATTGGCGTAGACGCGCATGGCGCAACGGGGCTACAAGCGATGGCGCGCCTTGGGCGTGGGATGAACGAGGGGCAGCACTGGGCACACGGGGGTGCGCGGTAGGCGAGTAGGCCGCGGGCGTTGGTGGTACGCGCGGAGCAGTAGGCGACGGACGTGCGGATCGCGCTGGGCTTACGGGTAGCGTGTACGCGGGTGAAGGCCTAGGCCCAGTAAGCCTAGGATTGACGCGGCAACACATGCGCAAAGAAGCCAGCTGGGACGGGGCGTGCGCATGGGCGCACGAGTGCGACGCGGGCGATGGCCTATACCGCGTAGGCATAGGAGTGCTGGACGACGAGTACGGGGCGCACGGCGACACGCGCGAGGCACAATGCAGGAACGAGGCGGCATGCCTAATCCTCGTATGAATAGGCAAGGCGCGAATACTAATCCTCGCAGGAATAGGAATAGCAGTTAAGTGCCAGAATGCGCGTGGGAGATCGGTGACGGGAGTAATCCTCGGAAGATCAGGAAACGTAACCGAGAGCCTATTCCTAGTAGAAATAGGAATAGTGGATATGGGTTCGAAGCATGGTCCTACAAGGAATAGGAATGGTGTGCGCATGCGAGGCAGACGGACAAAGCCTAGTCCACGCTGGACTAGGCAAGGCAGGGGCATGCACGTGCCAGGCAGGCAAGGCGCGCGATGCCTCGCGCGCCAAGGAATAGGATAGCCGAGGGCGGCGCGCGTAGAGGCGGACTTGGACATGCGCAAGACTCAAGCTTCTAGAAGTACTTGGTGTGCAAGTCAAGACATTAGGAGATCTACTAGATTTAGGAATTTAGGGTAGTAGGATATTTACTAGCCTTAGGATTTAATATTTAATTGTTTTATTAGTTTCCTAGTAAGATTAGAACTAGAGGTAGTTGGCACCTATAAATATCCCATGTACCTCATCATATTTTACATGTTGAATGAGTATTGAATTGGTGAGCCAATCTTGAGGGGGAACTGATGTTCTTAACGTATGTCTAAGCAAGGCCGTTAGTTCGTGTTTACATACAGTGTCGGAGAGAAGGCCATTAGTGCGTCTTGAAGTCACGGTGTCTAGGAGAAGGCCGCAGTGCGTCTGTTAGACACGTCTATCGTGGATAAACGAAGGCCCAGAGCGCGTTTATTCACAACCATCATATAGACAGAAAGTCGATCAGTCATCATTGGTACTTTCATTGAGAGGTGCTGATCGATTTTTGTCTATCTTATCTTTTTATTTTTTTCGGTTTGCCTTTTGCTGAGGGGCCGAATTTCTCTTTATTTTTGTTGGGATTCGAATTTTATTGTTCGAATTTTCCCTTTATATTTTTGAATTTGAGTAAAAAAAAAAGTGTCATCTTGTTAGTCCTTGTTTTGTTTGATTTTTGTTCGGTTATTACCTTTGTTGAGGGGCCGAATTTCTCTTTGTTTTTTTGAAATTTATGGTTCGAATTATTTTCGAATTTATAGAGTCAAAAAAAAAGACAGAATCATGATGTTTGAGCCATTAGTTGAGTGGGATCAAGAGGATCTCGAATACCTCGAAAGTTTGGAGAGGGAATTAACCCCATGGGAGCAAAATTATTTGGAGGAGATGTTCGAGCAAAAGGAGGAGTATGAAAGACAACTCAAGATCATGGAGAAAGAGCAAAAAGCCGAGGCCGATAAGAAGTTCCCAGAGTCGCGCGAGCAAGAAGCCGAAGTGGTCGAGGTCGAGGAAGAGATCTTGCCCGTGGTCGAAGAGGGCCTTGGCGAGGAGACGTGCGTCATGGGCGAAGAGGTTGAAGCGGCGCACATCGACGGCGAGGCTGAAGGAGTCGAAGGGGCCGAGGTCATTGGTGCGATCTTGGTCGTGGGTGGTGGGTGCAAAACGTGCGCGCGGGAACAGCGCGCGCAACACATCGAGGTCGTGGCCGGAGGATCCGAAGTGCTCGCAGTCGGCGAGAAGATGAGCGTGGGGGACAAAGTAATCGATGTTGCAAGCGAGATTATGGTCGAAGAGATGTTCGAAGTTGAGATGTTGGTCGCGGTCGAAGCGGGCCATGATGAGAAGGCGTACGCACAGTATGGTGTGGATACGCGTATGGACGAAGAAGATGTGCCCGATGCTTGGATGGTTGAGGATGAGTCCTTGAGGACAAGGACATTCTCAAAGGGGGCGGGAATGATGCGGAAGTGGGTTTCGAGCCCCGACGACGAGATGGTCCATAGGCAGGTAACATTCGGGCGCAAGAAAGGGCGTATTAGAAAAGGGCGAGAATACGCACATTGGCGTAGACGCGCATGGCGCAACGGGGCTACAAGCGATGGCGCGCCTTGGGCGTGGGATGAACGAGGGGCAGCACTGGGCACACGGGGGTGCACGGTAGGCGAGCAGGCCGCGGGCATTGGTGGTACGCGCGGAGCAGTAGGCGACGGACGTGCGGATCGCGCTGGGCGTACGGGTAGCGTTTACGCGGGTGAAGGCCTAGGCCCAGTAAGCCTAGGATTGACGCGGCAACACACGCGCAAAGAAGCCAGTTGGGACGGGGCGTGCGCATGGGCGCACGAGTGCGACGCGGGCTATGGCCTATACCGCGTAGGCATAGGAGTGCTGGATGACGAGTACGGGGCGCACGGCGACACGCACGAGGCACAATGCAAGAACGAGGCGGCATGCCTAATCCTCGTAGGAATAGGCAAGGCGCGAATACTAATCCTCGCATGAATAGGAATAGCAGTTAAGTGCCGGAATGCGCGTGGGAGATCGGTGACGGGAGTAATCCTCGGAAGATCAGGAAACGTAACAGAGAGCCTATTCCTAGTAGGAATAGGAATAGTGGATATGGGTTCGAAGCATGGTCCTACAAGGAATAGGAATGGCGTGCGCATGCGAGGCAGACGGACAAAGCCTAGTCCACGCTGGACTAGGCAAGGCAGGGGCATGCACGTGCCAGGCAGGCAAGACGCGCGATGCCTCGCGCGCCAAGGAATAGGATAGCCGAGGGCGGCGCACGTAGAGGCGGACTTGGACATGCGCAAGACTCAAGCTTCTAGAAGTACTTGGTGTGCAAGTCAAGACATTAGGAGATCTACTAGATTTAGGAATTTATGGTAGTAGGATATTTACTAGCCTTAGGATTTAATATTTAATTGTTTTATTAGTTTCCTAGTAAGATTAGAACTAGAGGTAGTTGGCACCTATAAATACCCCATGTACCTCATCATATTTTACATGTTGAATGAGTATTGAATTAGTGAGCCAATCTTGAGGGGGAACTGATGTTCTTAACGTATGTCTAAGCAAGGCCGTTAGTGCGTGTTTACATACAGTGTCGGAGAGAAGGCCATTAGTGTGTCTTGAAGTCACGGTGTCTAGGAGAAGGCCGCAGTGCGTCTGTTAGACACGTTTATCGTGAATAAACGAAGGCCCAGAGCGCGTTTATTCACAACCATCGTATAGACAAAAAGTCGATCCGTCATCAGCGCGCTGCTGCGCGCGGACGTGCGCGTGCTGCCTGCCTGCACGCGCTGCTGGGCTGTGATACGAAAGTGATTATTAACCCCGGTGAGTCCGACGATGATGGTGGTGACGATCTAAATATTTGGCTAGAAAATATGTTGGAGGAGCCATCTAGTCCAATTTACCGGCCATCATGCAAGAGAGACTGGCCAAAAGGGTGTGGTCCGCAATCTATGTTGAAGGTCAAGAAGCGCCGGGCCAAAAGACGACGCAAAACAAAGGCGCAAAAGGCGAGCCAATGTTGTGGGCCGTGCACTAGGAAGAAATGGACGTGGCATACAGAATTTCAAAGACGAGGAAGGCTAGGAATGGAAGATGGCCTGATATGGCGTGCAGGTGACTGCATTGGGTTGGATGGTTTGGATCCATGGCCGTCAGGAGAACCAATGGAGTCAAGGGACAAAGGGATCGATGAGGACCGATTAGCGGGTGTATGGCGCGCATCGTGCGGTGATGCGCGCAAGAGGTCGAAGGGTCGAGGCGTTAAACGAAGACGCGGCGCCGAGATGTTGGACGCAAGTGACGCGCAATCATGCGCAGGAGGTAGCCAAGCTGCGGGGGTCGGCGATACGCGGGGAACCGCGGGTGTACGCGGGCGCGCGATAGGCGATCTGGACACAGGCGTCGACGGTACGCGCGGGCGGGCAGGCGAACGCGAGAAGAGTACGGGGGCGTCGAACGTGGGCAGCAACCGCGCAAGTGGCGAGGACACGCGCGAACAGGCCGATAGCGACGACGCGCAGACGAGAGTGCGCGATTGGGGCGCGCATGCGCAAGGCCTAAACCTTGCGGGCGTAGGAGTGCCGAGCGATGGGCCACACGCGCATGAGGAAGGCGGCGACAGCTGGGCAAGTGCGTTGGCGCGCGATTGGGTGACCAGCACGCGAGGCCTAGTCCGCACGGGACTAGGGAAGACCATGACAACGGGTGACGCGTGCGAGGCGCGCGCGCGTGATGCCGCGCGCGACAAGGACTAGGGAATCTCGAAGGGCGGCGCGCACGCGTAGGGCGAGAGAGGCGGCCGAACAAGTACTTGTGCATGATTTTGATTTGTTTGGAGTGCAAGCCAAGCAAAATCAAGATCTAGTCAAATTAGGACGTTGATATATTTAGTTTCCTTCTTGCACAATAGTATCTAGAATGTTTAGGAAGTTAATATTTTATTGCTTTAATATGTTTCCTAGGTATATTAGAATTAATAGTAATTAGGATCTATAAATAGGGATGTTCCCTCATTGTTTTTCATGTGGAAGAAGTTAATAGAAAAGAACGTTTGTTCGAAACCGTGTGTTAGAGTCGTGAGATTCGATCATGCAATCGAATTGGTGAGGCTAAGACCCAAGCCTGTTCAACGATTTAGAGAGGCTAAGACCCGATCCTTCATCATTGGTGCTTTCATTGAGAGTGATTGATTGGGTGTTCGTGAACTTTTTCTATCTCATTCTTTTTCTTTTGGGTCCGATTTTTTGATTTCTTTTTGTTCGAATTTCGAATTTTTGTTCCCAAATTTTTGAAAATTTCGTGAGTCTTAAAAAAAAAGTGTCATCTAGTCCTTTTTTTGATATTTTTTCGGTTATTGCCTTTTGTGAGAGGCCGAATTTCTCTTCTTTTGGGTCGAAATTTTCGAAATCCTTGTTCGAATTTTTCATTTATTTTTCGATTTCTTTTATAGAGTTTAAAAAAAAAATGTCTTATGAGCCAATGGACGAGATGGATTGGGAAGATCTCGAACTATTGGAGAGTTTGGAGAGAGAACTTACACCATGGGAGAGCACATATCTAGACGAGCTCCATGAACGAAGAAATCGGGAAGAATACGAGCGACAACTCTAGAAGGCCGAGGAGCAAGAGAGGGTGAAGTTTAAAACCGTGAAGATGATGGTGCGCTTAACTTTCTAATCCTTGAGGACAAGGAAAGTCTTGAAGATGAGGGGAATGATACGGAAGTGATTATTAACCCCGGTGAGTCCGACGATGATGGTGGCGACGATCTAAATATTTGGCTAGAAAATATGTTGGAGGATCCATCTAGTCCAATTTACCGGCCATCATGCAAGAGAGACTGGCCAAAAGGGTGTGGTCCGCAATCTAAGTTGATGGTCAAGAAGCGCCGGGCCAAAAGACGACGCAAAACAAAGGCGCAAAAGGCGAGCCAATGTTGTGGGCCGTGCACTAGGAAGAAACGGACGTGGCATACAGAATTTCAAAGACAAGGAAGGTTAGGAATGGAAGATGGCTGGA